TATTAGAACTAGGACCATATTTAATTTTCGTTAATATTCTGGAGAAACATCACGTCTTTTGATGTCTTGATGCTGTGAATGATATGTAATCTTTGACTTCAAGGATGGCGTAGATGATAAGCGCTTTCGTTTTTTATTTGATGATAAATTTAATTGATGTATCCAGACCATATGCCTTTGTTGATCGGCATTCGAGAAAAAAATGTATGGTAATTTACAAGTCAAGCATCGTTCTTTTGCTCCTGATGGTAATTCTCGATCTGGCATAGCATTTGGTTCACCACACAACATTGAATGTGCTTGTTGTAAGAATGTATCATAATGATGCTTAATTGATGTCATTCGAGGCCATGGCACATAATTATTGCATAATCGAAGAAAGTCAAGTGTTTTCGTTGCTTTGATTGGATATCTTGAACAGTGAAGGCAAGCAGGATCTTTACATTTGATAAATGATACATAATACGAGGATCTAACACAATGTCGAAGATATAATTGCAGATTAAAACGAGTATTATCATTGATCTCGTTCATTACAAAATTAATAGAACTCTTCATTAATTCCTGTTTAAATACTTGATGGCCATCAAACAGATTTCCATTAGTTGAAAAGACTGGTCGACAATCAATTTTGAATTTATCATAGAGTTTCTTATGCCAATATTTTTTCAAGTCAATTAATGCGGAGTCCAATTGACCATGAATTGATGGAAAGGATGGATCAAGATCTAATATTACATTTGCTATTAAGCTCGTTAAATAGGAGAACATTCTTTCAATCGGATTGAATCTACTGTTGCCTGGAGCATAACTAGTCCAAATCAAAGCATCTAATTTGTTTTCTTCCCAGAAACGTCCCAAATTGTATATATTTGCCATGGAGTTCGATGTCCAATCAGGACCATTATCCGATATTATTGCTAAAACACGACGATGTATAAACCAGTGATTTTCTGTAGCAATCTGTTGTATATTGTTTATGTGCATTTCACTGGTAGCCTTTTCCGATGTTGAAGCAAAAGGACGGAGGAACATTTGACCGGATCTACTCCATCTTATATGTTTACGATGGTGTTTATCAGTTGTCTAAATAAATCATGAAACAATTATTAATGCCAAGCTTATTGAATATTGGCAATCATCTATGTTTTCGGTATTGTTACTTTAGGCCACCTGCTTCTCTCTCATGATCCCACTCATGTTACAATTTCAGCCTGTTAAGAATCACGGCTGCTCTATTTCGCTCGACGGAGTTATTTTGATACCTGGTTTTGGAAAATCATGATCTGGTAAATTTGGAGCTTGATCAATTAAATGGAATTTTCTCGAGCGTACATAATGACTAACTGCCGGAGTTCCAATTGGTATCTTTGCTTTGTTATCACATGACAACGAAATACACTCATCGTTATATAAACTGGCTAATTCTTGAACGTAGTTTACTAAAGCACATGTAATTTGAAAATCTGGGTGATTTTGACATTTAGTATTTTGTTTTCGTGGAACCTTTGCTGGAACTATTGACTTGTAATATTTGTGGCTTTTTGTCGACTTTTTGGGAGGCATAAATAAACGGCGTACGGTGGCATTTGATAACTTATAAATATTTGGATAACGACGTGATAATCGACGCTTGATATAGTTATTGCAATTTGTTATTGTTAAGCCATTAAATCGAACTATATCATCTCGTCTGCGGTCTTGTGCTCCTCCGCTATGCGTGTTTAATAAGTTTTTCAATTCTCGAACTAATTCTGGATATTTTATATGATATGGTTTCCTACCAGGTGGAGTAGTTTGAATACAAAAGTCTTTCAAATCATTAATTATTTTAGCAGATTTTTCTTTAGTTTCAAATAATAGCCAACTATAGCTTGACATATTAGAGTTTTATTAATAGTTTGCGTAGAATTAAAGGAATTCACTTTAAATGAGCAATTTCGAAAATTATATAGTGAAAAAAGAACGTTGTTCCTTCTCTTCGTCTTTTTTTCTCTCCTTGTCTAAAAATAATCTACAGCAACGAAGAAATATACAGTCGTATATCAATTAGTGTTATTAGCGTTATACTCGATTGGCTCTAACACATTTATATCACCACATATGTTGAAAAAATGAATTATGTTCTTGTAATTTAATTTATGTATTAAGTCCGTAACAAATGGTATTAATGGAACATAGACAATTACAAAAACAAACATATCGAAATATGTTGAAAATTGGGATAAAATACGATCAATATAAATTTGCTTTCCACTTTCGCGTGAATTCTAGAACTGTATTCAATCTTATACAATCTATTGCCAAATCACCTTTATCTGTATGTACTTATCTGATATTTTTATTTCTCGTATTGAAACTTATTTCCTAGAATAACATTGAAATAGTGATCAGGTACTGTGCGTAACAGATATTAGTTATGTCTCAAGAGTTAAGCAAAGATCCGTATGAATTCTGTGATTCACCATCTTTCTTATCTAACAATGAATGCAAGTTTGATCAAATTAATAACAAACTGAATTTACTTCTAACACACATCGAACGAATTGATCAGAACATTCTGAAACTAAGTCAAGAAATGGATACGTTAGTATCAAAGCAAACAACAATAGAAGTCACATTGAACAAAACAAGCGCTGATATTACTAACGCCAAAGAAATTCTCCAAAAATCAGAAAGTTCATGTTCAAAAATATTGAATATCATTCAGGAGCGAGCATTGTCTTACGAACGAGCAATAGAAGATGCTGCACAACAAATTCAATTGGCAACACAAAAGGTGATTACCATTCTCCACGTCTGAGATGTAGAAGAAAATGAGATGGAAATTATGAAATTTTTCGGAACGTCAGACCTAGACAAATCATTACGCCAATGATATTTTATTGAATTTTTTGCTTATCCTTTAGGTTCCAGATCATATCTCTAACCAAACACATACTACTCACGAAAGTTGTATTAATTTATCAAACATATGTGATGATCGTAATATTTGTGATATATCCAGTTTGAACGAGGAGGACCATAATACAGTAAGCCACACAGATGGAAAACAATTGTAAAAGATTAATTTTGTCTTTATTACAGAAAGAAAATAATGTCTTTCTCGATTTGGATAGTGCAAATGTTATAACTCAAATGCCTTTGGAATCAACCAAGAAACGAAAATCAATCGAAGATAATCCACTATCTGATTCAAATAGCTTCGCAATGCAGGTAATACACTGATACTCATCTTCATAAATGCAAACAGATTATGTTAAACTTTTCAGAGTAGTACACCATGCAATAGATCAAAAAGATCTCGTACATGTTTATGGACCACAACAGACTCACCATATCAAGTATATATATATAGATCATACAAATGATGCAACTTATCTAAAAATTTTGAACATTTTTTGTATAGGTATCAACATTAAATATAACAGATTCCATTACTGGAGAAATTTATAAAGTAAATGCTGATAAATACAATCGTGCCAAACGTGCAACAGATACTGTACTGGTTACGGATGATAGCGGTTTTAATAATTTATTATATTTTTTATTCAGCGCAATGTTTTCCAAAGAAGAACTAAAAGAGGGTTCCATTAACGGAACAGTCAAAGGAACAAAAGCATTATGTCCACAACGCATTCATACAATCGATGAACATATATATAATATTTATGGACAACGATATATATCATACAGACAAACAAAGAAGTTTCAAAATACTATTAACAAGAAATGTTCTCGCTTAAGATCGTCATGAAATTTTCTATTAATTTTTTGTTTTTC